GTCACTGGCCCTCACGTGGGATCTGAACCGGAGTCCTGCTGCCCAGAGCCGGCACCCCAAGCCAACTCCTAACCAACACGCCACTCGGCCAGCCCAAGAGTCTGGATTCTTTATAAAAGTTCCTAACAAGTCTTCATAAGGAGGACTGAGTCATAGATCTCATGATTAAAATCCCTAATAAAAGAGTTTTTTCATGTTATGGCCAGAAGCCTCATAAAGTGTGTTAAATGTGTATGGACATCAGTTGCAAATCTGTATAAAGACCTCATTTCTTTTTGATGATGTAGGTAAGAGACAAAAATGCGTTAATCATGAACAGTCTGCATTTTCCGTGCTCACAGACCTGAATTGAAGTAATTGTAGAAATAACAATTAAAAAAAAAAAAGCCCCTTTCCAATATAAAGCATGTTAGGTAGGAGAGGAAATCTGAGCAGTTTTTTAAGGTAATGAGAAATGTGATTAAAATGTATGACTCATAAGAACAATATTCTAATATTTTAGGTTGGCTGGCAATTAGAATAATTTTAATGATTAGAGTAGAGTCAAAGTCAAATGCCAACATCTTTAATAAATCCTCTCCCTGCCTATACAGATTAATATTGTAGATGCAAACTTTTTTAGGTCACAGTGCACCAGGCATCCATCAGAAGTCAGTTCTGCCAACCCAAACACTGCCTCTGGCATATACAATTTAATTATTAATAGTATGTCTCCTAGGTAAACTGTTACACAGTCTTAGGGCCTTGTTTTGTAGTCATTAAAATTGAACATGTTTATATTATTGAAACCCTTGCATTCAGTGTGTAGGCTGAGTTGATCTTAAAGTATCCAAAGAGAATTTACCTGGGGTTCTGTTTCACATTTATAGACAATGCCCTAGAGTAGCTGTGGGATATAATTTTTAGCATTAACACATTTAAATAGAGAACTGTTTGCTAGCTATGACTTTAGGCAAATACAATAAACAGGGTTTTGGCATCTATGATTTCTTAACCTGTGGGTTGCTGAGAAGTAAGAGTCATTTCTGTTCAGACAGTGCTGTGCATTTGACAATTTTCAGGTTTATTTTTAAAAGACGTATTGGGAGCTGGGCCTCCATAAACCTTTACTTTGGAGTTGTTTGGGTTGAATTAGGTGCCGGGTAGAGTGCATCTTAAGGACAGCCAGGGACCCAACAATGAGCAAAGGTGACTCAGGTCTCTCCAGGTCCCTGGCAGTGGTCACACCCAGAAGGCGTGCTATTCAGTCTGCTAAGACTGGATCTGTTCTTGGGGAGTCCTCAGCTGAGGGCATTTCGGAAAGAAAATAACCCAAAGCTCATCATTCCTTTATCATTTCAGTGTTTGTTCAAGCAAACAAGTTGCAGCAGCATATTTTTTCTGCCCATGGACAAGAAGACAAGATCTATGACTGCACACAATGTCCACAGAAGTTTTTCTTCCAAACAGAGCTGCAGGTAATGTCCCCATGAGTAGGACTGGGATTGAACTCAGTTGCTCTTATAGGAAACAAGGGCATTTTAAATCTGGATTCACAGTATCACTCACCCTGGGCCACCATGATGCTTTGTGTGTACTGGGGCAAAGGGAAAATTAGAGGCTGGATTAACAGACACCAAAGTAATTTTGCCTCTAGCTGCTGTCAATCATAAAAAGAACTAGAACAGACCTATAATTGGACCTTCTGACCCAGTGTGATAGACTTAGGGGTCAGGTTTATTGGACTGTGGGATCATTCACCTCACTTGTCACAGCTTATTCTCCCAAACCCTGTTTTATTCATGTTCTGTTCCCCCTGGGCTCCAGGTTGGATGGATGTCCAGGTTATTGTTGTCCTGAGGGGCTTAGAATTGGAAGGGAGGAGGGAAGATAAAAAAGAAGCTGGAGTCTTGTCCAGTGTGAGCTTCTTTCATTTAATCAAATAGAATAATTATTACTTAGTAACAGCCTTATAGTTAAAATATTCACACCCAAAGATAATTGGGTTTAGTCTTGAGTGTCCCAATTGCTAGATACGTGACTTGGCACAGGTCCATAATGTTTCTGTACCTCAGATATGAAGAAATGGTAGACAAATGTAACACAGATTTATTGTTAGGTAAACATGAAACAATAGGTCTGGTTATGAGCTATAAACTCTAAAATATGATATAAATGTTTGGTTGGTTTTATTATTCTTAGCAATAGATTGATAGCTTAAAATATGAGTAAGAGACCTGGATTCTATCCCTTGTAGGTGCCCTTGGAGGAGAATGGATTTGAACTCAAAATTATTTTATTATGAGCAGTATTATTAAAAATAAATTTATTTAACCTAAAATGGGGTGGGGGTGTAATTGTTTTTTTTGCATTGACTCCCTTAAACAGCCCGAAGAGGAGCTGATCTGGTTGAAGCAGGGATTCAGAGCCCCACCTGCTCCTTGTCCCATGTCCCGTACTGTGGACCATGGGGCAGCACTGTGCTTCCTTGGGCTCTGGAGAAGGCAGATTTATGATAATTATGTGTCAAAATAAGGAATTTAGAGTTGATCTTCTCAATTATCATTCTATATAAGTGAACAACTAGTAAGTCAAGGAGGTAAAATAAAAAAATATATGAAAGAATGGGTGAGTCCATTTACTCAATATAATGTGTCAGTGGACCAAAACTAAAATTACTATCTTATTTTTTTTATCACATCTAAATAGAATTCTACTCTGTTACATCTGTTTGTGAATTGAATGTAGAAGACAGCCCAAGTTAGACTATTGTTTAAATTATGTTTTATTAAATTAACCTAAATTTCTGTTTGAAAAAATATTTTTATGACTCTGTAGAGGATATGGACAATACACCTAGTAGAACTGCTAATTAGTATGTAAACTGTGAAGCCAAATTAAGTAATAGCTTACAATCAGAGTTGTGGAGATTCCGTAGAGACTGACTTCTATCTAATGTTCTTGAAAAAAGTTTGCAATAAAATTCCACTTTTAAACTGCGCAGAAATCCTCCCTTACCCAAGGGGTAAATGTTCCAAAACCCAGTGTTTGCTTGAAACTGCAGATAGCACTGAACTCTATATACACTATGTGTTTTCTTATGCATTAGGTATGATAAAAAAATACAGTGAACATTTAAATAAAGAAATGTATTACAGTAAAAGACACATTACCATTAATCCCCCTCAAAATAACTTCCCCTCACTTTGAACACATTTATCTCATCATTCTTGCCACTTTGTGAAGCAGTTCTGGAAGTCCTCTTTCGTGAATGTCTTTAGTCGCATTGTCGTGGCTACCTGAATGTTCTGAATCATTTTGATTTTAGGGAAGAGCCAGAAGTTTCATGGTGCCAGATCCGGTGAATAAGGCGAATGAGGACACACTGTATAATGTTTTTATTGGACAGAAATTGCTGTATACCCGAAGCAGTGTGTGCATGGAGCATTGCCATGATGGAGGATGATTTACAGCACACTTTAAAACACACCTTCTCTCAACCATAGCTCACACCCAACTGACTGTACCGAACAAATTGAAACTTGTCACACAGTTACTAAGGTTCCACGTGCCACTTCCTGTATTGAAGATCCCTGCCTTTCCATTGGATGGCACTCAGCAGCAGCATTCACTGTATTTTGTGATCACAACTGCGAAGGCTCCATGTCACACATAGCTTCTGGTATGGCAATTTATATCAAATAAAAACATTATGGTGTGTTTTCATCCACCTTATTTACTGGATCTGGCACCGTATGACTTCTGGCTCGTCCCCAAAGTCAAAGTGACCATGAAAGGTAAACGTTTTGAATCAACTCAGGACGTCAAGGCAGCCATGACAGCACAACTAAAGACACTCACAAAAGAGGACTTCCAGAACTGCTTCTGAAAGTGGCAAGAATGGTGAGATAAGTGTGTTTAAAGTGAGGGCGAATATTTTGAGGGGGATTAATGGCAATGTGTATTTTACTGTTATAATTTTTTTTATTTAAACATTCACCATATTGTTTGATCACACCTCATATATATACTTATGACAAAGTTTAATTATAAATTAGGCATAGTAAGAGATTAACAACAATAATGATAAAATAAGACAGTTATAACAATATACTGTAATAATAGTTATGTAACGTGGTGTCTCCCTCCCTCTCTCTCTCTCTCTCTCTCTCTCTCTCTCTCTCTCTCTCATAACCAAGAAGGCTAAGTGAATAAAGGGCAGGGAGCATCACAGTGTGGATACACTGGGCAAAGGGACGTTTCATGTCCTGGGCAGGGCAAAGTGGGATGTCTAGATATTTGATCATGCTAGTCACCATGGCACAGAATTTAAAACATGAATTGTATATTTCTGGAATTTTTCATTTAATATTTTCAGACCTCAAATTGACCATGGGTAACTGAAACTGTGGAAAGCAAAACCATGGGTAAGGGGGGACTGCTATATTAGCAGATTTTACTGCAACTAACCTGATGGTAAAACTTCAATGTCTTTCATTAAAGAACCCAACACCATGATAGTGGTGGCCTGTGGCCTGTTCTAGTGCCACAAAACTAAGCAATTAAATACATCTTTCAAGACTCCAGGTTTCTTTTATGGTGTATTTTAGGGTTTCATGGAACATAAAGTATTCACTCTTTCTACAATTATTATAGACCAGTGATTCTCAAACTCTTTGATCTCAGGATGCCTTTACACTTAAAAATGATTGAGGAGCAAAGGGTTTTGAGTTATGTGGGTTATTATCTATTGATATTTTCTATATTAGAAATCAAAAATGAGAAATGTTTGAAACACAAGAATATATAAGCACGCAATTCTACAGGCTATCACAGAGATGATAATATCACATGCCAAGTAGCATCTAGAAAACTCTACGCTGATGAAATAATGAGAGTATAAAAGGCAAATAACATTTTAATGTTATTATGAAAATAGTATTGACCTAACAGACCCCCTGAAAGGACCTAGAAGGCCCCCAGAAGTCCCCTGAGTCATACTTTCAGAACCCTTGCTCTAGACGATATGGTACATAACACAGGACTCTAAGATCTGAAGAGGTCAAACATCTCTCAAAACATTTCTGACTTATTCAAATTGTGATCTGGGCCAAAATAAGTCTTATTTCATAATCTAAATCTGTGAGCATTATTTTTCCAATCTGTCAACTCAAAATGATACATATTTGGTGTTGATATGAATACTTAGGCTTAATCTGTGCCTCTTTCCTTAGGTAAGAGAAGGATTTATAGTTAGTATGTGATAATTATTGCAAAGCTAATATTCACAGTCATTGGAATATCTGTGTATGTCTGTGTTCTAAAATCCCCAGTACTAGCAGCGAATTTTAATTTCAATGCATTAAGAAAAATGGATTAAAATTAACTTTGCTTTTGCTAGTTTTGAATGTGTTTGGGTTTTTATGCTTTAACCTTAGGGGGTCACCGTCCTGTGCATTGGATTTTTCATTACCCAAATTATTTCTTACACCTGTGTGTTTTCATAAAAGGTCGTAAAACTAGATGCCCAAGAACTGAAATCCTATTGGAAATTTGAAAGCATATAGTGTGTTTGGTTCTTATATCAGAGTGAGACTAATAGAGTAAGTTTAGGATGAGCACTCCAAAATTACCCAGTAACATAACTATGTTGTATCTTTTAATGATGCATAAATTATTTCATGACCATAATAAGTAATTTACATTTCTTTCACTATTTATACCCAGTTAAAAACAAAAAAGCATCTTTTTGTGGAAAGAAATGCTTTGTTAGTTATGAAATTATATATCACACACACACACACACACCACACACACACAGACACACACACACACACACACACACACACGATATTTTCATTAATATTGCCTACAAGGCCATTCAGAATTCAGATAATTCTTCATTATACACTGTCTATCTTCAGAAAAATCAAGGACATAATCCTTTGGACATTACAGACTACAATTTCTTTTAGAATTAAGTACAATAAAACCTCTATTTCTATGGAACACTCAATCTAGGACACACCTTTTGCCAGAATCTGTATACTTCACATGACCCCTAAACCTATCTGACCTAAAGTTCTAAATGCCAGTCTAGAGATAAATGGTGTATAATTTTTGGCAGGACATAATCTTTTCCTTTTAGTAGAGTTTTTTTCCATTTTTGCAAGGAATTCTAAATACTTCAAAGGCCACCTAGCATGCTGGTAAGGAAGATGTGCTTTGGAATAAGAGTGCATTATTTGAACTAAATGAACATTTTGTTATTTTAAAAGCAAATGAATATGTTGAATGTTTCACATGTTTTCCTAATAGACCTCATAACTTTTTCTGCAGAACTTAAGGAAGCTGCTTTGAGAGAGGGATGGTGTGGTCCAAGAATAATATCCTACAATGCATATTTGTATCCAAAGTGGTTTATACAGGTGTGAGCAAGTGGTGTGTTTGTAAAAATTCTGTTGAATAGGCCACTTTC